TGCTGAACGTCCTTTGCTTAAAGAAAGAAGGAGCAACGTAGAGACGTTTTTACTGAATGCTTTTATTTCTGAGCTGCTACAGACAGTTTGGAGCAGCAATGATGATGCTGCAAGTTCACATGTTTAATGCAGGAAGAAAGCTTGCGAAGCTGAAGGGAGACAAATACAAAGTCAACTCATGGTGGAAAAGTGAGTCATGTAGACATGCAGCCTGTTGATGTGGATCATTATCAGCAAGTGTCACAATCAGACATTTCACACAGAGTATAAAAGCATGAAGGCTTCAACTATGAGCCTGAAAGAGGTTTTAGCTGTCAGCTCAACAACGGGCCGACGACTGGGATCCAACGTTAAACAAGTCCAGAAACTCGGCCTCCACTGCACTTCTTACCATTTGATTTTTGCCCTTTATTTTTCTCAAAGTGTGCAGGAAGGCACCCTTTGTCGAATTTATTACAACCCACGATCACTTTTTTACATTCCTGAGTAGCCGATGTAACCTTGCAATTGTTGTTGATTTTCAATAAAGTCATATTCATCTCAGTATTACTGATGCATAAGTTCTTTAGGTTCGGATCTTCTGGCTGGTAGCTGGCCTGTACCTGAGTGCCCCCGTTGATGCAGATCGCGTTGACTGTTTCCTGATCCTTCTTCTCGAAGAAGGTCTGCTTCGATCTCTTAATGTCGCAGAGCTTTTTCTTGTCTATGTACCTGTGTAATGAGAACATTGTTTCACTAAAAAGCAGTTGCTGTTTACAATGTAGTTTAAGAACTTTGAAATATGAGTATTGAGCAGGAGTGTCCAAAAAATGAATTCTTCACAAACAATGTTTAAGTTTAAACTGCTTTAAGTGTCTCACGTCTCAAGTTAACGATGAACTTGTTGACTTAAATTGTTCACTTACTTCTGCCATTTAGTGGTTGATGTTCTGTCAAAGGCCGTATGAACGATGTGTTTCTTCACAAATTTGTTGTACGCATTGTTGTCAAGTGGAGAGTTACAAGGTTCATGTTGCCCCAGATGGAGGAGAGCGAACATGACGGAGACGACCAGAAGAACCTTCATCTCGTCTACAGGGGAGAGAAGGAGAGTTTTACAGCATTTTACTGTTTAACAACAACATGATACACGTGTTGATGGTGAAGTGCCGTAAACGCAGCATCCACCTTTAACTCATCCACTAAGAGCAACACCACAGTCTGTAAAGTCATCATTATTAACACAGAACCTTACATTTACTATTGATTATCACCACGTAGACTGAAAATGACATTTTTCATCTCATACACATTAAAGGGAAGGTTGAATTGGTCAAAACTCAATATGCATTATTTGTATCTGACGCCTTCTTGGTATTTAACATACATCCATTTACAGTGTAAAGTTCCTTCACATGCATCACATCTATAAAATGCTGATAGCTGCAGTAGTTTTTCTCACCTGTGCTGATCAGCAGCCTCTGAGCTGCAGACGTTGTTGTGTTGAGTCTGCAGGAGGATCCACTGACTGATGTTACAGTCTGATTAGAACAACATTTCCCCTTTTTAAAGCTCCTCATGTTGTGAACGTTGGTCACCAGCAAACATAATAATAACAGCCAATGGCAGCACTGCAATCTCCTCTTTGCCCATATAAAGTTAATGTGTGATAATCAACTGCAAAACCGACCGGCCTGTAATTCTGTGAATGGGGAAGTGAACTCTTGCTGAGCGTCGCTGCTGCTTAAAGCAAACGAAGAAGACGTCAAGTAGCGGCGCCTCTTCTGCTCGTAACTTTCTGCACAAATACAGTAACGATCCATCGAGGAAGGAGAGCTGTTAGTGTCCAACGACGACTCGCCTCCATAAACACGTGTGATGGATCTCAGATAAATGGAGGAGGGACACACGTGGGATTTGTCTTGGCGATCACGGATTGATGAGGTTGTGTTCAGGTGCTGAGAGGCTCAAGTTCACCATTTGGCCCTAAAGTACAATAACGTCTGTTTTTACTGTAATATCTTGTTGTTTGACCAGTTTTTAACCGTCTATGTACCTGTGTGACGACATCAACGTTTCCCTGCAAAGTGAACGCTGTTCACAATGTACTTTAATAACTGAAATGTGTGTATTGAGCAGGAGTTTCTAAAAAAAGGTTTAAGTAGGAACGGCTTGCGATATCTCACATCTCCAGATGAACCCGTTGACTTAAATCGTCCACTCACTTCTCCCATAAATCTTTGTCTTTTCTGTCAAAGTTATTCTCAACGATCTTTTTCTCCATGTTGTACATTACTTCAGGTTGAATTTGTAAAAACTTAATAGACTTTGTTTTTAATACACGTTCTTTTTACCTGATGCTTTTTTGTTATTTATAATACAATACAATATAAAGTTCCTTCACATGCATCATTATATTTTTGTTGGAATGCCTTAAGCATTCCAAGTATTGTTCTTCGAATCTTTATTTCAACTAAATTCTATTTCTTCCGTGGCACCTTTCAACTCCTTCACACTTTCAGCTATTTAAACCATTCAAATATTAACATATTCAGCTCCTTTCTGGCTTCCGGGCTATGACTTTTCCATCACTTTTCTTTCTACCTCTTAAGCTTGAATTTATATAAATCAATAATCGTTAATATTTTAACATGGTTTTCAAATGGAGTTTGTTTTCCAAATCGTCTTAAACCTCTTCAACTTTCAGACTTTTCAGCTCTGCCAATCTTTCAGCTACAAACACCATTTAAACTTTCAAATGTTGACACAGGTCTCAACTATTTTATGAAAAAAACTGCTTCTTGATATCTATTGTACTTTTTTCATAATGACTGATTATGTTTCACTAGTTCTTCGCTCCGTTTCTGACTTTTACATGAGTGTGTACTGCGTCTGCTAGAGTGGAGAGCTCGAGGGCTAGAGTGTGGGGCAGCGCAGGAATCTGGTTAAAAAAATATGGAACTTCTGTCCTTACAGCCAAAGTATACACTTTTGATGCTTCATTTCTTCAGATTAATGAGGGCATGGTTGTGCCGATTGGATTAATGTGTTCATGGAATCCCAGAGTTCTTTAGTTTTGGCCTACGGAGACCAACAGTCACACAACCGCTGCCAAAAGCCCCATAGGCTCCAATACAAATCCCCCGACATATTTCTCAAAAAATCCAGAAGGTACACGTTTTGTAAACTTCGACAGGAGCCGTATTTTTTACCGGACAGACATAAAACACACCTCCCTGCGTTCGGTAGAGTCTTGGGTCTCGAACAAACAGCGTATTTTTTAGATAGCTGTTATAGTTTTGCGCTGAATGTCATTTGTTTGAGGTGTGGATTCTGTGTAACTTGCTGCCATGTCTCTGCCTTTTGCAGCAGCTCGTTAATGAGCACAGGTGCGCCGTTGTCGTGGTTACGAGCACTCACACGCTGCAGGATCTGTCTGTGACTCAGCTGCTCCTTGTGACCTGATTAGTGGAGTCACATGACGCAGCTATGCTTTCTGTCAACAGACCAATATGATAAAGACACTCGCCCCCCCTCCCCCCTCCACCCTGACCTCTACTCACTGTTAATCACTCAGTCAGTCTGTCTATTTCTCCTCCTCTCTCTCTATCTCTTCCTCACCACCCCTCCCTTCCTCACCCTCTCACCCTCCCTCCCTCTATCTACACCCCCCCACACCACCCAGTCCAATAGTTACAAAATAAAAGCCCCGTGGAGGGAATTTTACTGTAATGTTTGTGATGAGGCCTATTAATTAAAAACTTAGTTTGAATAACAAACATTCTGTCTCCCAACCCCCCCTCACCCAATTCCATCATTACAAAATAAAAGCCTCAATGATTATCTGTACCTTAACCATGGAGCGGTTTTCGCTGAAATACGTATTGCTCTTTCAAATACTACTACAACCACCACGAATATTACTAGTACTTCTAGTACTACAACTGATACTTCTACTACCATACTACTAGTATTTCTACTGCTATTAATACTACAACTAAAGCTAATGTTATTACAAATACTACTATGGCTAATAGTATCAGTATTCCAGCTGTTTCTACTGCTATTGATACTAAACCGACTTCTACTGCTAGTACTACTAATACCACAATTACAACTATAACTAATACTACTACTACTATTACTACAAACAATTTTAAACCTCTTTTTATTCATCTCAGCTTTTGTTATTTCTGTACTTTTTAAAATTCATTTAAGCTCCTGCAACTTCTGTTTTGTTTTGCAATATTTCACATTTATTTCAGCTCATTTCTGCTTTTTCAGCAAATCTATAGAAATTCCTTTCAGCTTCTCCCATTTCTGTATTTTCAGCAATTTCAAATTAATTTCAGCTTTTCTAATATCTGTAATTTCAGCAAATGTATTCAAATTCCCTTCAACTTTCTGTATTTTCAGCTATTTTAAAAAGTTCATTTCAGCTTTCAGCTTTTTGCATTCCAACCCATTTTCAGCAGTAAATGCATTTTCTAGTTACTTTCATAATCCTACCCGCCTTACTTTCATAAAAAAGTAAGGCGCTTTGTACTTTGTCAGTTGGATGACGGAAGAATTGTTAATGATTTTCATTAAAAAATATGAAATTATTATTTCTGTCAGAGGTTTTCTTATATGTTGCTGAGTCTGCAGGAGGATCGACATCAACCGCTGTCCAAGTCTCTGATAAAAACCCAACCATATTTCCCTATCTTACACCTTCTTATCTTGTGGACTTTTGAATACAACCAATCATTAGAATGACGGCCAATGGCAGCGCTGCATCTACTCTTTGACCATATAAAGTTTATCAGTTATAATCAACTGCACACTGTGACTGTGGATGCAAACGCCGCCATAAACTTGTCAGGTGGAACCTTCCAGTGCTCCTTGTAAGTTCATGCACAAATACAATGATCCACTGAGAAAGGAGAAGTATTGGTGTCATAACGTATTGATGAGGTTGTGTTCAGGTGCTGAGAGGCTCAAGTTCATCATTCAGCCCTTGAACTACTGTCATCATCATTCAGCCGCTGAACTACTGTCTTTTTTTAGTGTAACTGGGGCCGCCGTTAATAAAAGGACATCATGCTGCACTGAAGATGTCCTGCAAGTTGTGACTCAGACACTGAAGCAATGATGAAAATGTCTTACATTGTTGTGTATTTAATAAATAATAACAACTGGGTGAGAGGGCAGTTGATAAAACATAAAATATAGGAAAAACTAAATGAAGTTAGACTTAATCTCAACTGGTGTATTATCTTGTTGTCTGACCACCATGAAGGGAGATTCAACATTTCACCAATAAAGAGACGTATGTAATTAAAGACCAAAGCAGAAGTCCTTTAATATTAATAACAGAAACATGATGAGACAAATGGTTTAACAGATGATCTTGATACAGAGAAACAGAGAAGAAGCAGGAGGAACGAGAGAATAATGAGTGATTTACACCATAATGGAAATAATCATCAGCTGCACTTTGATAGTAAATAATAAATAAATTATCTTCACCTCAACCAACCGCAGCAGTAAAATCCTAATTTTGCTTTAATACACAATAATAATAGTAATGATAATAATACACTAATAAGTTTAAGTTTCTCCAGTGAGTACTGCTTTTATAACATTTTCAGTGCTGGAATTTTACATTCAACCTTTGGTATAAAATATAATATAAATATAATAATGTAATATACATGTTTATGCAAAATGACAGAAATCTTCTAAGTGAAATAAAGCACATGAAGCAAAATTAAAAGAAAAACCCAACTAATCAAGTCTCCATTAATGCATGAGTGAAAATTGCCCCGTTTAAGAAGAAGATAAAATTTGGACCCCTTTTTATGGTAAAATGCCGCCGAGCACCAATCATGCGCCCGGGTTGCGTCACAACCAGCAGTGCACGACACGCCCGCTTCACGCAACTACCGCCACAGCCGGGAGGCTCAGTGGCCGAGAGTTCTCCCCGTTTTGTCTGAGGTGCGGACTGAAATACGGCAAAACCTCACCGCCGAACGCACACCCCACGAACGAGTACATGTGAGACTTGGCCGCCGCGTCGTAGAAGGACACCAGGCCCTCCGCGCGGTCCACGAACACCCCCACCCTGCGAGGCCTCCGCGTCAGGGGGAGCCTGACGGGCGGCGCCGTCATGGCCGCGTACTTTTCCCCCTCGAAGTGCACGGCGACCCAGTAGCCGTTCGCCGGGTCCAGCGAGAGCCTCCCCTTGCGCCTGGCGTCGCGCCGCGCCACGCCCAGGTCCCAGCCCGTCTTGTCGCCGACCTCCACCTCCCAGTAGGACCTCCCGGGGGGCAGCGCGCCGAGCCCCACGACGCTGCCGAACACGTCGAACCTCTGGGGGCCGTCGGGGACCTTCTGGTGGTCTCCTCCGTCTCTCGCCGACTTCCCGTCGGGGGACAGCAGCAGACCCGGGTGGGCGGTGGCGGGATCCAGCTTCACGTCCACTGTGGCGGAGCAGAGGGATGGAAAGAGAAGCTCGTGCATTTGTAATGTGCAGGTGACCATGAAGGTTTCAAATGGACCCTAAATAGTCGGATTGTCGTTGCATCGTCTGAGTCACACACCTGCAAATGTGGAAATCCTCTTGAGTTCTGTGGAAAGAGAACAATGATGTTAAAGCAAAGCGACTCACAGTAAAACGCGTGACTTTGAGCAGCACTCACCGACGGAGGAGAGTTTTTCCAGCTCCTGGTGAATTTCTTCCATCATGTTGGACGTTGTAGTCCTCAGTGAACCGAAAGAGGACGAGGTGTTAACGGCGTCAGTGTCCGTCAGGCCTGTTTGAGATGAAACCTGTTCCAAGAAAACACAAACTCATTTTCATGAAGGGTAAAAATACACCGATCAGCACAGAACCTTTAATATTAGCTTGCGTTCCCCTCGAGGTGGATGATGCCAGATGCTGACATCTAGTGGGGATAAAGCACGATGACCTACTCCGATGCTCACCTTCAGCTCAGGATCCGTCTCCAGCTCGTCAATGGTCATCTTCAGTTTGTCAATTTCCTTCTGCAGCCTCTGGACCAGAAGTTCTGCTTCCTTCTTCACTTTCTTCCTCCTAAAAGTAACATACGGTTTCGTAAAGCTTTTACCCTAAATCACCCTAAACGGTGGCGTGCGTTTCGTGTGTCTCCAAAGCGACCTCTCCTCCAGGGGTCCGAGGGCTTTTCGCCGGGCGCCCTCGACGGCTCTCATCACCCCAGCGAACACGTCGTTGATCTCCAGCCACTCGGCGTCCAGGCCGCCCTTGAAAAAGCATTACAGGTGAGGATGCCAAAAAGGTCAAAGGACACAAAACGCAAAGCGTAAAAGGTCGGCCGCGGCTCACCTTGCATGCCTTCACCGAGGATCTGACTTCCGCCATCTTCCGTTCCCTCGTCTGAATGTCGTGCTGTAAATCAGCCCTCGTCCTGTCCTGCCTCACCTGGAGCCCAACGCGTGACTCTTAGTTTAGACCACTCGCACAAAAACAAGCGCAGTGGCAACATTGCTGAGTTTCTACCACACTTTTGAGTCCATTTTGGCACTTTTCTGGGGACGAGTGGAAACCGGCACCTTTTAAAGTGGGGCCGGTAGGATTGGCGGAGGTTTTGTACCTTTTGTAGTTGTTGAGTCTCTCTCTCCTTCTGTCTCTCATTTGGTCCAAATGTTTCCTGAGCTGTGGTCGTTGGAGGGGCCCAGAACAGTTGCCCAGTTACCTAAAGGATAAAAGCACAAATGATGATATAAGGCATAGTTTTAAAGAACATCTTCACCGGCTGAAGCCAGTTGTTCCCTTTCTAAAAAAGTAGAGAATCTGCCGTACCTGCTGCGCGCTGGTGTTGAAATCAAGCGCTCTACAGGCGCTGACGGGGGCTTGACGGGCGGGGGCTTGACGGGCGGGGGCTTGGTGCGTCGTGGCGCAGGGCGGTGGAGTCTGAAACGCTGCAGAGTCGAGTTTGTCACCGTTGGTCAGAGCTGCTTTGAATCCTCTCTGTGTTGTTCCAGTTTGGGATAAATGACACAAATAGTCCTCACCCCATTCGTTTGTTTCCTTCACCAGGGCGTCCAGGGCCGCCGCTCCGAGCTGGGCGCTGCCGATCTGTGACACGGGAAAGAAAGAAGAAACTAGAATACAACTATTGGTCCAGAATTGTTTGTTTGGCACACATCATTTTTATGTTTGATTGAATGTACCTCGGTCTTGACCGGAGTGGTTCGGCTAAAAGATCCTCCGTCCCCTTGATGAACCCCCCAGATGTCCTGTTGACTCCCTGTGAATATTAATAAGAAAACCATGCAGTTGTTTTGGAGATGGCCTTTAACTCCCACTGTATTATTCCCTTAACTTGCAACAGACATCACATGAAGATAAAGACCTGAGCTGTGTAACTTCTCATCGGACTTGAAGGCGGGGGTGAAGATATTCATCAGGGGCTCATCAGCCATGAGGGGCCCCGGGTTGGCGGGTTTAGGAAGGGAACCGTTGAATATGAACTGTTGGCTCTCGGGGATTCCCATTCCCTTCGGCGTGCATCCCATCTTCCCCTGGTGGGTCCTCAGGCCGTGGTAAGTGGTCACTTCGGACCACCCGCAGTGGCACACTTGGAGTTGCCCCGCCTACGAAAGCACAAATGATGATATAAGGCATCTGACTTTTCCCGTTCCCTCGTCTGAATATCGGGAAGAGCGTAAAAACGGAACCTTTTAAAGTGGGGCCACGTTAAGTCGGTAGGATTGGAGGAGGTTTGGTACCTTTTGTAGTTGTTGAGTCTGTCTCTCCTTCTCTTTCTGCTTCTCATTTGGTCCAAATAGTTCCTGAGCTGTGGTCGTTGGAGGGGCCCCGTCCTTCACCAGGACGTCCAGGGCCGCCGCTCCGAGCCGGCCGCTGCCGCTCTGTGACACGGGAAAGAAAGAAGAAACTTTATAAAACGATTTGTCCAGAATTGTTTGTTTTTTACTGATCATATTTATGTTTGATTGAATGTACCTCGGTCTTGCCCGGAGTGCTTCGGTTAAAAGATCCTCCGTCCCCTTGATGAACTCCTGCTAAAAGACTCCACCAGATGTCCCGTTGACTCCCTGTAAATATTAATAAGAAAACCATGCAGTCATTTCACTGTATTATTCCCTTAACTTGCAACAGACATCAGATAAACATACAGACCTGAGCTGTGTAACTTCTCATCGGACTTGAAGGCGGGGGTGTTGATATTCATCAGGGGCTCTTTGGCCATGAGGGGCCCCGGGTAGGCGGGTTTAGGAAGGGAACCGTTGAATATGAACTGTTGGCTCTCGGGGATTCCCTTTCCCTTCGGCGTGCATCCCATCATCCCCTGGTGGGTCCTCAGGCCCTGGTAGGTGGTCACTTTGGACCACCCGCAGTGGCACACCTGGTGGCTCATGTCTTTGAATCACCTGTTTGAGGGCGGACCGAGCTGAGGGATGCGTGTAAGACAGTGATTAGTCGCCCTCTAGCGGTACTCGAGAGTAATTGAGCGGTATCGCTCACTTCCTGCTGTAAAACAGCCAGACACGGATCAGGAACTTCATTTTGTATGTAGAAAGTTAGATGTGGATGACTTCAAAATAAAACGTCATTGTTGATCCAACTCCACAAATGGAAAAAAATCCCCAAATAAGAGAAACAGATTAAGTGAAACACACACGCACAGGTAATACTGTTTATCTGGGGTTGTTATAATAGTAATAATCCATTCCAATTCTTTAAAAAATGTTCATGCGTGCCGTAATAACTTCATAAGAATAAACCGATTATAAACACTTTTTTAATATAGAACCATAGAATATTTTACACTACACAGAATTAGTTGGTTTATTTACTGCGGCGGTAGAACAAGGTTTGAATGCAAAATGAATCACAAGAACGTGTTCATCTCCTTCTAGCAGCTCAAGAAACAACAATGTTTGCTGTGTTTCGTACACGCCCTGAAAGCTCCGGTACACCGGTCCGTTTGTTCACTAAACCCTGAACGCTTTTTATGCAGCATGGACCCGGAATCTCTCAATCAACACAACCTCTTTCAAAAGTATTCCGAAACCTATTGCAAAAGTATTCCAAATCCTCATTCACAAGTATTGCTCTCCATAACCGTTTTTAACAGTATTTCCTTGTCAAACAGGAGCGCAGTCGCTGAGCAGAACAAGAGCATTTTTAGGGGGTGTTATTGCGTCATCTTTGGGGTAATAAAGCGGAATAAGTTGGATGTGGAGCAGTTTACCTCTCTCCCTGTGACCTGCTGGCTCTTCTGGCTCCGATCGACCGAGAGACGCGTCTCTCCTCTCCGAACGTTGCCAAACTCTTGGTTTCGTTTCAGTCGAATACGTCCATCCGTGTTTCATTTTAGGTCCCACCGCATCCGGTTTTGTTATTTAACAAATTTATGGCGACAGATATAAATAAATATGTACTGTTTTATTGAATTCCCACTGCCGTGGGCATTGAAATATAAAAAAGTAAAAAGTATTAATGAGCCATATTCTTATTACAGCGTGCAGTAAATGTCAGTGATGGAAGATGTATTCAGTTTATGACACTGCTTCATGTTTCCTTGTTTTTCATTTTCCACGCCACATTCCAAACCTTGTCAACTGATACCAATGCCAATATCAATATTGTTTGTCAATTGCATGAGCCATCCATCCATCGTCAAACCACTTATACACAGCCAGGGCTCAAACCACCAACCTTGCGGTTCCCGGTGCACCTTCTCCACCCCTGCACCACGGCGACCCCATTTAGAGTCCCCAATTAACCTGACACAGGGAGAACATGCACACAGAAAGGCCACTGGGTGCAGTCGAACCCAGGACCTTCTTGCTGTGAGGCAACAGTCCTAACCACCACACCACCGTGCCGCCCCCAATTGCATGATAATCATGCATATATTTACATTAAATGTGTTTCACTAATTTAAATTTATGCATGACTGTAGTCATTATTTAGGCCTGAAGAAAAGTTGAAAATACTCAGTTCCCCCCCTCTCTGACACAAAGGCAACTTTCCTCTGCTTTCGGTTTCGTTTTCTCCTGTCCCCTCCCTTCACTACGCTCAGACATGTCCCAACAGGATGTTTCCCAATACACCACTATGATGTTGGATTTAATAAACCCCAGAAGTTAAAAAAAAGAGAAGGGAATTTGATTCAATTTGATCACTTATATTTTATTATTTTATTAAAACAAGTTGATGACAGCACAATCAAACATACATTGTATTAACACATGGACACCCATATAACATCTCTTACTGTCCCCTATCACATCCATAAAAAGTTTACATGTGTCTCTTTATTTTACACATTCCAATGAGTCTTCTATAATAGACCTTTATAACCTCCATTACAGACCTGTATTATAAGGGATCATTTGTGTAGCTCTTGTCAACACTTTACCCTAAAGTACCCAGACCGTTTGAACAAAAATGGTCCATACTTTTAGCAACAAATGGCAGGATTACCCAGAACCCCCCTCTTCCACATTCTCAAAAGCCGTGTTTTGAAACAGAAACGATCAGAGGCTCTGAGTTTTTCTCCTCCTGTTTGGCGTGCGGGCTGAAATACGGCAGGAGGACGGCGTCCCCGAAGGAGCACCCGGTGAACGAGTAGACGTGTGACCCGGCCGCCGTGTCGTAGAAGGACACGAGGCCATCCTCTGTGTCCACTAAAATGCCCACCTTCCGGGGGTGATTCGCCAGGGAGAGGCTGATGGGCGGCGCCGTCAGAGCGGCGTACTTCTCCTGGTCGTAACGCACGATGACCCAGTAGCCGTCGTCCGGGCTCAGCGAGAGCTTCCCCCTGCGGTTGGCGTCGGCCCTCGCCACGCCCAGGTCCCACCCGGTCTTGTCGCCGACCTCCACCTCCCAGAAGGACCTCCCGGAGGACAACGGGTTGAGCCCCAGGACGCTGGCGAACAGATCGAACCTCTCCGGGGCGTCGGCTACCTCTCGGTCCTCCCCCTTGTCCCTCACTTCCTTCCCGTCCTCGGAGAGGACGAGGCGACGGTGGGCGGTGGTCGGGTCCAGCTTCACGTCCTCTGTTTGGTACGAGATTAAAATCAACCAAAGATCTGAACTCAAAAAGTCCCATTTTCTGAAAAGAAAACCCTAAATCACGTACCTCTGAACTTTGGAACTCTCTGAAGTTCTGTGAAGGGAAGAAACGGTGTGAGAACCACATGGTAACATTCATGATTAGAACATTTACCACCACGGTTCAACTCTTACCCGTGGAGGTCAGCTCCTCAAGTTTCTGTTGAATCTGTTCCAACATGGTCGTTGTGATTTTCCTCAAGGTGCCGAAAAACAACGATGTGTCGAGCTCCACCGCTGTTGAGTCCACGAGGTTGTCCGGGTTCGGAAGAGCTGGGTAGCGCTGAGGAAGAGGAGATTAACCCAAAGGCTGCACCGAGGAAGATCCAATCACACCGACCATAATAGTCGCTCACCTGAAGGAAAAGGACGTGATCCTCAAGCACCGATAAGTTGTCTAGCTCAGAGATGGTTTTCTCGAGTCTGTGGATCTCAGCCTCCAGCTTCTCTTTGATGTCTTTTGCTTCTTTCAGCACTTCGTCTCTCTTCGCCTCCACCGGCCTGAGAGCTGCCGCCCGGGCTTCCTCCACGATGGCGGCAACGGCAGTGAACACATTGTCGATATCCCACCACTCACTCTCCAGCTGGTCCTGGAAATGGGTTAGGGTTGAAGGGTTAGGAGAAGCATTGATGTTTAAACGTTCCATATAAATGCCATAGTGCTCTGTATCATATTTGACAGTTTCGATGGACAGGTTTCTGATTTGTTTTCTGCAATTCAGGTCAACCCAGAATGACCTAAACTTACCTTGCATCTCTTCAGAGATGTATCGGTCTCGTCGATCCATGTTCTTTTCTTCTTAATTTTCTCGTTTAATTCTGTCTTTATGTTTTCAAGCTTGGCCTGTTGTAAGAGCAAAAGGGCAAGTCAGTATCCTTCGAAAACCTGCCTAACCACACATGTATACCTCAATTTGTCCAAAATACCAAGGTGTCAATACATGAAACAGGCCTTGCGTGAGATAACCCACCTTCTTCTGGTCACATTCGTCTTCAGTGGACACAATCGCCTCCTGACCTTCCTCAATGCAAAGTGCACAAATGCACTCTCCCCTCTTCCTGCTATACAGCTCCAGGGGGCGCCCGTGCTTCAAACAGGCCCTCTCATCCAGGTTCTCCACGGGTTCCACCAACTTGTGGCCCTTCAGCCTTTCAGTCGAGGAGTGGTTCTCCAGGTGCGTCGAACAGTACGAGGAAAGACACACGAGACAGGACTTCTTGGCCTTCAGCTTTCGCTCTGTGCAAACGTCGCAGGCCACTTCGCCGGGGTCCCCGGTGTACTCATCGGCAGACTTCTCCAGGGCCTTAATCATCTCCTCCACGATGCTTCTCAGGACGATGTTGACAGTCGGGACCTTCCTCACAAGATCCTTGCATAGAGGGCAGTTATCCTTGTATCTAATGGTACTTTGCAGGCATTTCTTACAAAACGAGTGGCCGCAGTCTGTGGTGACGGGCTCCACAAAAGGCTCAAAGCAGATGGAGCAGGTGAGGTGCGTCTGCAGCGAGCCGGGGTCGCGGGGGGGCACTTGAGCGGCGGCCATGTCTGAGGACAGAGAGCACCACGAGGTCACTCACTTGGGAATTTAATTACGTCTTCGACTGTTATGAGACTGCGAAAAGGTGGTCAAAGAGTGGGCCACGTTGCCACAGATGGGCGCTACAGGGTACAGGCAAATGCTTAAAGTGTCACATCCTGTTAATCCAATGTGTGTTTCCTGTTTTTTTTAGTCACAAACCCACATTTCAAGTTCCTGCCCTCGTGCTCCTGCATTAAATCCCCTTCACACCCAACATGTGTTAGGAAGGGTCGGCAATATTGAGGATTATTGATTACACCCCTCAGAAGTTATCAACTTCAAATTTACATGAGGGAGAGGCTGTAAAAAACTGGTTCCCATGTCTCTCTTCCACGAGAAGGGACTGGATTTATAATTTACAGACATACTTCAAAAGTCAAGATGACAAAACATATTCATTTCTGAAGAACAAGGAAACACGGATGAAACCACACTCTGATCATAATGGAGCTCTTGGACATTCCAGGTGACACACCTAGTGTGTGTGTGTGTGTGTGTGTGTAAAAAGGTGTTCAGACCTGCTGCACTATGAACCAACTAATAAAGTAATAAACCTGGCGAAATAACAGCGAACACATTTTTAAGCCTATTGCATCGCACAACGCTAGATAAAATAAAACACGTTAACCCCGGAAGAAAAACATTTAAAGGGGTCTCCGGAGTGTGATGCTGTCTTTCACCTACCGAGATGGTCCTCGTCTCCGTGTGCGTGTCCTTCCTCTAGCAGTCCTGCCTTTGTTGTCAGTTAGGTTTCATTTCTTTTCAAAGAGCTGACAGTCACTTCCTGCTGTCGGGGAGGCATGTGCACATGCAAATTAGTCAGTGAATCGCCTCTACGTAGGCTGCAGGTTTAGCAAGGTCCCACAGATCCAATATCGACTCACGCGAAGGTTTTGTTATGAGGTTTTATGCGTCTGCCTTTTATTCAATGTTTCACCGGTAGAATGAAAAGGATCAAAATCATTAATTATGTATTAGGCAAAAGTGTAACTCCACCCTTTATTGTTCAGCATGAATATTCAGTGTTTTCAGACTCTATTAAGAAAAGACATTTTAAAAAGGGACGACAACTAAAACATTCAACAGGCGTGTAAACTGATATTGACCTTTAACATAAATGACATCATCCAGCCGGCCATAAGTTACATCCACACAATATATACTCTCAACAGGTTGTTGGCCAACTAATGGATGTAGGCAATTATTGTAATTCATGAGGTTTCAATGTTCCTTTTTAAATCTGTTCAAATCATCTTTTTGATTGCATATAATTATTAAACATGCTAAACACGGATCTGCAATTCCAATATCAGTCAGTCGAAGGAAAAGTCTGAGGTTTAGCTTTGGTAAATGCACTTTAGTGGGACGAGAAAAACACATATCAGTTTAATGGATATAACACAGCGATCTTAGCTTAGTTTAGCACAGGTTTCTCTTTCCAAAGGTCATTTAATTGGCTCACAAACCCTTGTGGGAATTAACACCTTTTATCTTCTTTCTTCATGGGGGTTGTTTCCCAAACTCTTCACTTCAGAAGCGTATTTCCCCAAAATATTGAACCATTTATTTTGCAGCCGCTGATCCGTCTCTAACTATTTAAGGTCGAAGGCGTCAGTCCACGAGGAGGTGTGTAGAAACGTCTGCAGGGACGGGAGAGAGACCACGTTTACTCTTTAAAACATGACACGCGGCTTCGATTTTGTGGTCAGTTGACGTTTGACCTCGAAGCCGAACCTGCAGGAAGCGGAGGTCGTCCTCGCCGCGTGAGATCTGATCCAGCGCCGCGCTTCTGCTCCGCAGCTCCGAGATTTCCTCCCCCAGTCGTGCGATGAGCTCTTTGCTCGGAGCCCGTTCCTCGCTGGGACCCGTGCCCACGAGGCCGGCGGAGAGCTCGGTTTTCTCCACTTCGCTCAGTCTCTCCTGGATGGCTTGCTGAAGTTTCGTCTTTCTCCATTTTAGTTTCACCTGTGTAAGGAGGAGGGGGGGGCTTTTAATAGCTATTTGGATAATATAAGTGGAAACATGACATTTGAACAGCGAGATGTGTCTGCTCCTATTGTGTCAATAACTTAACCCTTCAATGTTGACGGTGGAGAGGTTTCTCCGGACTTTACCTTCATCTTTGTCGCCTCCCTGTGGATGGAGACGATGTGATGGCCCCGGTGCTCAGTCTGGGCACACATGGCGCAGATGCACGTTCGATCGCTCCTGCAGAACTTCTGTAGCTGCTTGCCGTGCAGCCCGCACGCGGGGTCCTCCAGGTTCTTCACCACGTTGATCAGCAGGTGGCGCCCCAGATCTTCTCTCTGGTAGTGTGGCTCCAGATGGGCGGCACAGTACGAGGCCAGGCACGCCAGGCAGGACTTGACGGCCCTGCGCTTGGCGGGGCAGAGGTCACAGGGCACCTCTCCGGCTTTCAGAGGCGGAGCCTCCTCCTCCTCGGTCGGGACGCCGGCGCCATGCGTCTGGGCCGCGTTTAGCGGCGGCCTTGTGGGGAAAAAGGCCTTGCAGAGTGGGCACCGACAGGCCCCGTGGATCCTCCAGTATTCTCCTATGCAGCTCAGGCAGAAGCGGTGTCCGCAGGGGAGGGAAGCGGGCCGGGCGAACTCCTCCAGACAGATGCAGCACTGAGGGGGGTCGGACATCGGGTCTGGGCGTGCGACCTCGGGCTGATTTTGGGGGGGCTGTCAGCATGCAGCGAGGACGGTGTCTTCCATTGGCTGTTGAAGTACTGAATTACAGTACTTCTTCATTAAATTGGCCTTGGTGGCAGGATCCAAAACACAAGGTGCGTGTTGTTGGTGGAAATACTCCTTCCACAAGCACAAGACATACCATCTGAAATGAAAGCACTTCCAGCTATGAGTGACTGGAATCTGTGCCGAAGAGCGATGAGGACCACGTCAGAGCCACCGGGTCATTTCTAACCATCGCACCTCCACCGACCAATGGAATCCAGATACAAGTCTCCTTCAGGGTGATTCAAACAGTACAAAATACCTGTGATTGTGGATTCATCAGGTGTCATTCCAAAGTATTACCTATTTATTTACACCACCGATACACAATGTAGTGTTTGCCGAACACAGACTAAAACCTTTAAATGCTGGACCGTTAAAACTGAAATATAAGACTCACGTCTCCAGAGCGTCCGGCAGCTTGTGTTCCTCGAGGCTCTAACGCAGTTGTGTTGTCTGATCAGGTGGTTCCACCTGCGTAAAAGGTTCAGACACACCTATCGCTGCTGGTAAAGAGGACGGCCCTGTTGGACTCTGTCATTTCCTGTAAGCTCGTAAACTTACGCACACTTGTTACGGGAGAAGTTTCCACATGACAAATCAGCCGCAGTTACAAAAACAAGGGCAACAGCAAATATGTAAATCTTTGTTTTAGCAGTAATGTACACTCAGTAATGTTTATAGGATATGCAAATGAAATGAGACCACATTGTGCAATGACCTGTGGTTGATTACAGTCTGGCCTGATAAGGAGTCACTATAATGACGTCATCATCACCCGACCAACGGATGATTCAGATACACTTACCTGGATCTTTCCCGCCGTTGGGCCCGTAGAACCCTGCTGGCCTCCAGTACCGGCTCACCTGGGGGTTTTTCCTCTGGGTTTCTCAACGCGTTGATGTCCCGTCAATCAGGGAAGTACGAGGTCTCTTTTTTTAAGCGTTGTCTTTCTTATTCTTCAAAGGCCGCCAGTCGGAGCAGCAAGTTGCTGGATTGGTAACACGGCAGGCGAGAACGAAAAGGTTGATTTTAAAAGTGATCATTCGAAAATGTGGTTATGGATTTTTGCCAAGTCGGCTAAAAGAAGCCCATTTTAAGTGTGGTTACAAAGTGAATCCCAACCCGCTCGATGAGTCATTTTCACCTGAATCTTAAACCTGCACAATATTCATGCAGGTCGGTATTTTAAAAACAGAAAGAGAAACTCCTTCACTAATTTATACCCCAGAGGCCTAAACCGGTTTCGTCATCCGCTTCATGCCCCTACTAGTTTCTATGAGGCCTGAAAAAGAGAGACATTTGGGAATATTCGAGTGAGTGTTTATTGTTGTAAACGATGAGCAAACTTCTCCCCAACGTACGACCTCGGCAGCATTAATCACACTTGACTAAGAGTCCACACGGAAACACGACATCACAGATCCAGAAGGTACCATTTCTTCTGAAGAACAGTTTGTTTGGTTTGCATTCTCCCTTGATTATGATGCCATTTAAAACATTATCAGGATGTTATCATGATTAGCTTAGCATAACACTGGCTAGCCGGTGGTTAATTGGCCTGATTAATTTTTTTTCAATTCCTTCAAAGAAAAACAAAATATTCTTGAGCATAACACCACAATGTTAATGTTGAACTGATCTCAATGCGTAAACATAAAATGACTATATTCTACACATGATGAATACACATGAAGGCTTTGCTTTCTCTCGTGCCTCTTCTTGCAGTCCAACGCGTCCCTAGCTTTGCTTGATCAGACTCTTCTCGTTCACGGGACAAATGGCGATGGTATCGGACGCTTTGTCGCAGCAGTACAGGTAGAAGAAGGGCAAGATCTTCTCCCTGAACTCGTCTTTGAATGTGTAAATGTGGGCCCGAGCCTTCACGTCGTAGAAGGACACCTGCCCCTCCTCGTAGTCCACGTACACGCCCACCCGCCTGGGCCTGGCCGGGAGGGCGAGGGGCTCCGGCGGACACGTGGACGCTCGGTACCCGTGGCCCTTCTTCATGGCCAGAGCCCAGTAGCCGTGCGTCGTGCTAATGGAGATGCGGCCCTTTCTGTTGACGGAGGATCTGGCCACGCCCATGTACCAGTCGTCCTTGTCCCCCACTTGGACCTCCCAGTAGTGCCTCCCCGAGGAGAAGCCCTCGCGGCCCAGGACGATGACCACCGTGTCGAAGCGCTCGGGGCGGTCCGGGAGGTCCTGCCAGGCGCCCAGGTGTCTCACCTGACGCCTGTCCTGCGAGAGCTGCAGCCAGGGGTTGGCCGAGTCGGCGTCCAGCGTCACGTCCGCTGCAGGGACGTGGTCGGGAGGGGGTCGAGTTTTTTGAGTTTTGAAATTATTTTTAAAAAAAACATCAAAAATATAAATGATCTACCTTTGTATTTCAGAATCTTCTTGATCTCTGTCGAAGGGACGACAAAAAGAAAGACATTATTTCAAGACAACAGCTCATTCCAGGTGTAACGAAAACGAAACCGTACCACTTTCAGCCAATTGGCCAATCGCTTCGTGCAGCGCGGCCTCCAGTTTGGCCACGGACCTCCGGATCGTCCCCACGCACACGTCCGTGGGAACGCTGGTCTCGGACCAGTCTTTGACGGAAGGAAGGGTGCTGAGGGCCGGGAAGCTCTGCGGAGACACAAAAACACGACAGCGACGCTGGTGCATCGTTCCCGCTCGAGGAAAAAGAGCACGTCCGAAATGATCGGCAGCCTCCCGAACAGGTCACATGATGTGCGAGGGATGGATGATGTAATCTTACCATGATTAGGCCCCCTAAAATCAAAACCACCCGCATTTACTCTGTAGACCTGTTGTCAAACACCTCTGTGTTGGGAAACGAAGCGCTCGCTCGCCTTCAGGAAGTGGATGTGGTCGCTCCGGGCCACGCTCTCCAGGTCGCCGCTCCTCCTCCTCAGCTCGCCGATCTCCGCCTCCAGTTCAGCCACCAGGCCTTGGGCCCAGCTCTCCGTCTGCCGCTGCTTCTCCTCGATGGCCGAGGCCAGCTCGGCCTGAGTCTCCCGGATGGAGCGCACCAGGTCCGACACCACCTGCGCGCTTTCCTCCACCTCCCTCTGGGCGCTGGCCTGGAGGAACGCCAAAGGAACGCCCGCGTCGAAGAGTCGTCAGATGACAGCGCTGAATGGGCGGCGTTGGACCTTGACACCGTTGCTCACCTTGTTTTGCTCCACCGAGTGTTTGATCTCCTCCACCTTCTTCACTCTGTCCCGGATCATCTGCTGGACGTCCACTTCCGTCTTCTTCAACTGCGCCTGCAACCAACGAGTCGATTATAGACGTACACGCGGTGATCTTTACCTTCAGAGGCATCATTCTCATTCTCTGATACCTCTTTGGATTAAAACCTCCCCAAAATGTTGTTTCAACGTGTCTTACGTCTTTCTTTGAAAGGAATGTGATTTATATATTTACATATAAGACTGCTAAAGTTTTTTTTTTAAAGCTGAACATGGAAAATCAGATAAATTCATTGAACAGTTTCCTGTTCTGTTTCCAGTTTTACGTCCACAGTAGGTTTCCCTCTAAAACGCCTGACAAGGCTCTGACTTGACGACCACATGTGCAGTGATGTGATTCGGGATCCGTTTTCACCTTTTTCTCCGTCCACTCTCTCTCCACGGGGACGGTGTAGTGCGCCCGGTGGTCCGTCTCCGTGCAGAGCACGCACACGCAGGTCTGGTCCCTCTTGCAGAAGAGCTCCAGGAGCCGCTGGTGCTTGGGACACATCCTGTCCTCCATGTTGGCCACGGGCTCTATCAGCTTGTGCATGGTGAACCTGCCCACGTGAGACCGCAGGTGCTCCTCGCAGTAGGAGGTGAGGCACACCAGGCAGGACTTGACCGCCTTGGGCCTGCCCTCCCCCAGGCAAACGTCGCAGAGGACCTCCTCCCAGGGCGGGGGTGAGGAAGCCGCGAGCTGAGGTGAAGGCGTGGGTGGTGTTTGGGGCGGCAGAGGCGGGTGGGGCCCCTTGTCTGTGGCCTGGGGTGGAGGAGGAGGGATCAGGGGTGCGGGCACACAGGGGATCAGAGGCGGTAACTCCTCCAGATGAGGCTTTTTCTCTCTGTTTCTCCTCTCCTCCTCCTCCTCCTGCTGCTTCTGATCCTTCTCCAGAAGCCTCTCCTCGTCCTCCTTCTTCCTTCGTCCCGCCGTCCCCTTCCGCTCCATCTCGTCCTCCGCCTGCTCGCGCTCCTGGTCCTCGGCGCCCCTGACCCTGATCTCCTTGAACTGCTCGGCGATCTCCCTCAGCACCGTGTTGATGCTGATGTCGGGCCTCTTGTGGAAGGACTTTTTGCACATGGGGCACTGGTACAAGGGGCTGGTCCTCCAGTAGCCCAGGATGCAGCCCTGGCAGAAGTTGTGTCCGCACGGGATGGAGACGGGGTTGGTGAAGACGTCCAGGCAGATGGAGCAGTGCACCTGCTCTTCGGAGAGGTTCCCGCTGGCGGCCATTCCTGCGCGGCCGAGAGGCAGGGTCATTCTCAGCGCCAGCAACCGGCCTCCGAGCGGGGCATCAAAACCTGCTGTGACATCGAGGTCGCTCGGATTAGACGGCGAGACGGCGTGCGTGCGCACATGGACAGGATCCATTTATTGTTAAAAAAAGCTTATCAATTAATGTTCTGGCTTTTTCTAAGCTCATTTAAAACTGTTACTTTGATCCTAGACATTTATAAAGATAGTTTTTTTACTTTTGCTAAAATATCGTTATTGACAAACGTGATGCTGATATACTTTTTGCGACGAGCTCATCACATCAATGAAACAAACAAATCAAGCAGATCTCTTTAAAGAAGACGTATTGCGTCTTCGCTCGAACTGCAGCTAAATATATCCTGCCCGTATGATTAGTTTGAAGGCGGCGCGTCAGTGAGTTGGACCTGGAACAAGCAGCTCTCGAACTTGAGGCCTCGGTATCCAAAGACGGGATTAACGTCTTTCCAAAAGCATCGGCCCCAGTCAGCCACTTTTATTTCAGCCACTTTCCGGCTCTAAACTGTAATCTGGGTTATTTTGACCTGCAGACACCTCGAGCCTCCGAGCAAACTAATTTGTAGTTCAATTTTAAGTCTTTCTTTAAAAACACATTTTCGACTTTTGGTCACAGCTCTTAATCAGCTTCACCGGAATAAAAGAACACAACCAACACTCCCGCGAGGAGCTAAACGGAAAGGAAAGGCCGGAGAGGACGAGGACACGACAGAGAACCAGAGACACGGGGACACTCACCCGAGAGCAGCTGCCTCAGTGCTCCGCTGTGTACTGATATATGAGATACAGGCTGGGACCCCCCCCCCCCCTAACACACACACCTCAGACCCAAAATACACCTCCCCCCTCCCCCTCCTTTTACCCCAGATACAGATTTATACCCCCCCCTGGACATGGACCTCACAGGGGGACTGTTTTACACCCCGCAGTGCACTTTAAATTATTTATAAAGCTCATTTATGTTTCACTTCTCTCACAACCGGAGGGGCCTGTTGATCTCAGTCACTTTTTCCTTACTCAGCTATATATTTAAAATATCAAATTGGTTTAGTTTGTGTATTTGGGTTGATTAGTGGAACCCGTCTTTCAGGCAATAGAGGAAAAGCTCCTGTAAAAGGTATTTAGCATGTAGCTATGTTAGCTTAGCGCGTTGCCATAAACATGAACGATTGCGCCCTAAAATGAGATCGCGACGTTTGTGCTTGTGACATGAAACTCAAAGTTGGCCCCTCCTCCCCGGCTCAGCGCCGCCAGAAGGACACGCCCCCTGACCACAGTGCAAGAGAAAAAAAAAACACCACCGTAAATTCTTTGTTTGGTGACTAATGAATTTATTCTTTAATGAACAAGTTCTGATTGATAGTACAAAAGAACATATTTGATATATAAATACAGAACATACTTTTACAGCCCTGAAACAATCACAGATTATAAAATAGGAAATAAAAACCCTTAAAAAACAATATTATAGTCGTACATGTACAAAAATCTGTCCTCTGGTCCAGTCGGCCTTCAGACAGTAAATCTATTTAACTTCCTTTCTTCTGTGAAGTCTCCAAAGACTTACAAATATGGAAGTACAGCATTACTGTCAATACGCCCAGATGAAAAGGTCAAAAGGTCAGAATAATCCTCTCTCGTCCTTCACATGTTTTTACTCCAAGATATCAGCTTGATTTATATAGAATCTGAGAGGAGAGGTACGGTAAGTAACTGAGTAACTAAATGATCAATATCTCGCCGTAATACGCAATAAAGGATCAGTACTGTGCAACGTGTCCATCAAGTACGGCGAGGATGGTTCTACTGGTGCTGATTGGCAAACAACGCGCCGTGTTTTCAGTTCATTGGTTGGAAAGCCGCTTTGAGGCAAAGCGCTTTGCCAACAGTTTAAACCGTCGTAAGGTCGCCTCAATTTCACGTAGAAAAAAATGTGCTGTTTAAAAGTACCTGAGCTACAAATCTCTGCTGGAGGTTTTCTGACTTGTGATTGGCTCCTCGCTCTCAGGTGTGTTTGACCGGCGATATGAGGAGCGGCGACGAGTTCTTCCCGTCGTGGTGGAGGCAGGGGCTGAAGATCGGGTACAGACTCTCGCTGAAGGTGTCCACGAAGGTGTAGAGATGCAGACGCGCCTTCACGTCGTAGAAAGAAACCTGGCCGCCCTCGTAATCCAGGAACACGCCCACTTTAGTGGGCGGGGCCGACAGCGGCAGCGGCAGGCGCAGCGAGGCCAGGGCCTTCACCTCGGCGTTCTTCAGCCACAGGCACCAGAACCCGCCCTCGGGGCTCAGCTTGATCTCGCCCTTGCGGCGGGCCGTGGCGTTGGCCACGCCCAGCGTCCAGGCCGTCTTGCGCCCCACGTCCACCTCCCAGTAGTGGCGCCCGGAGGCCAGGCCCTCTCGGGCCAGGACGAAGAGGGCGGGGCTGAAGCGCCGCGGGCCCTCGGCGTGGACGGACTTGCGCTCCTCGTATCTCACCTGCCGCCCGTCGTCGGACACGACCAGGTTCCTCTGGGCCGTGACCGGGTCCAGTATCACCTCAGCTGCACAGAACAAGTCAGCATGAGTCAGCATGTCTTATCAATTGATCGTCTGATTGGAATCTAGCGGACCTCACGTACAGAACACACATCTAACAATTTAAGTCTGATCTGTTACTGGTGAACTTCACAATCTTTGACTGGCTTTAAACTTCTGGATGGAGTTTGAGGATGTGGAGGAACGGGGTCCTCTTGTGGACTGCGGGGAGAACTGAACATTTTAAGGTTTCCTCACACTGTTGGTGATCTTCAAACTGCTTTCTCCTAATATAGTTGATTGTCAAATGTTATAGTCTTACTCACTGGAATAGTTCTGGACCTTCCGGAGCTCTGAGAGAGACAGACAGAGACACGTAGTCAACAAGTGATTCTTTTAAAGAGACAAAGTCAAAGCAGATGGCTCGCGTGGGTTTAGAGCTCCAGACATGTGCTGCTGTCACTCAGCCCTCCATCAATTCCAAGCGACGGTGAACTGCGGCATCAACACCATCTCCATCTCCATCTGTCCGACCATCTTGTATGTGTGAATGTGTGAATGTGTGAAGGGGGTGGGAGGGGGGAGGGGGGGTGCATGTGCAATGATGAGTCACTCATCTATTTATAAGTGCTGGTGCACCTGCATCTGGGTATGGATTGTGTCGGATAATCTGCAAATGTGACTCTTATTTTGAAAGGCAATAGGCTACAAAGAGCCATAGAGGGGATGGACGAAATAACAGGAACACCTAATAATGCCCTCACCTTTCCCGTACAGTCTCTTGAGCTCTTCCTGGAGCCGATCCACCAGGCCGCTGACGGAGGAGCGGATGGTGCCCAGGTAGAGGTCAGTGTTGACGCTGACCGACGACCAATCGGTGGGCTCCGGCGAGGCCGACAGCATCGTCAGGTTCTACGAGAAGTAGGACAGCGGCAGGGAAGTGAATCTAAGATGGAAGGATCCCTCAGGGGATATAAAGTCTATTCCCATAAAAAAAAAGCACTAAATATGGTTTATATGGGTTAAACCATCTGGACGGTGTGCAGATGCATCTCATCAGATCAAAGAGGAGAGGCAGGTTTATAACAGAGGATGTTCCAGATCCAGAACAGTGACCGTATTTGTCTTCATGTGCTCTCAACTTTGCTCTGCCAAACATGTGTGGCTGCGTGCCTTTGCTTCCTCTCACACTATCTGCAGACTTCAAAGACCTCTTTCATGAGAGGGAAAAAAAGCAAAAGAGATCAACGTTTTATCTCCATCAACAGTCCGGGGTAAATGCACAGGGGGGAACCTTCACAACAGCTGGCTGTGTTCCTAGAGGCGTTTGATGTTGTGGTACCCGTCTCCTAGCAACCGCTACCATACAGGGCCGCGGGGTAATTGGCAGCGTGGACATTATGTGGATGAATAATGAAGGTAGGAAAAAATGATTTCAAATACATGCATATTGCTGCAGTGTGGTTTTGACATTTTAATAAGAGCGTAAAGTCTGCTAGGGTTGAATATCTGCAGCTGCATTTGGATTTGAGCTAATTAGCTCCCTTGCTGCCCTAAATACATATTAAGTATCCTGCGTATTTAGGCTGCAGGCTGGAAGAATGAATAATTCTTGATATGCCAGCATGCATTTTTGTTTTTTATTGACACTTGGGTTGTAGTCTTGTTTTTTTTTAATCAATCAATCATTTAAAGTCAAAGGCTGAAGAGAAAAAGAGTGGGGCAATCTTCCATTATTTGCTGACGTTGCAAAATGTTTATGCGGACTGTAGATGTTTGGACTTTTGGATCACGTGAGATGATCGAAGCTCCGTACCTGCAGGAAGACCACTTTGTCCTGCGTCTGCGCGTGGGCCTCCAGCTCGTTGCTCCGCCTCCTCAGCTGGCTGAGCTCGTTCTCCAGACCGCGGGCGAGCTCCTGGGCGTGGCGCTCGGCCTCCCGCTGCCTCGTGGCGATCAGCTCCACCAGCTCCGCCTGACTCTGCTCCACCAGGCGCTGCAGCTCGGCGTACACCTGCCAGCTCTCCTCCAACTCCCTCTGAGAGCCGGTCTGCAGGGCGGGGGCACGTGATGGGTGGGGAGGGCGGAGGTCAGTGAGGTGTAGGCTCGAGCACATTGAAGTTAAGAGCACTCGGAGAGGTCTTTGCTGTCTACACATGAATGTAATCGCCTTGCTACAGTCTGAGGAAAGACACCCTGATGATCTGTAACAGGGGCATCTAGCAAGCAGAGGGATGATAGGATTATATTAGTTGCATTATGGGAAATGTAGACTCTTATAAGAGTAACAAACTAGATTTTCTGTTTAGATACTGACTGTTTTTTAAATGTATAGATCCACAAACTTCATAGGAAGTACAATTGTTACTCATATCTGATAGAATCAATGTCTCCTATAGTTTGGGACTTTTTGTCCTCCACTCTCGGCTTCATGATGCTGAACTCAAACTGTGTGTAATCCGTTTCATCAAGTGGCTCTTTGTAAATCGTACACATGAATATCTTTCTACATCCCCTCATGTTTCTCTTTTTTTACGCATCGATCCCTTTGAAGTTATTTGGCGTTGAGGGTTTGCTGCAGATGAACTCGCCACGCCTTCAGGCCTGCATATTTCCCAAACCTGTGACGCGGTTCGGGCCTAAAATAGAAACATCAAAGTCCATCAAATTAACTGGTGGATCGCGGCGGTTTCAGTAGTGACACACACCCCTTTTTATGCCTTTTTCCTGAGAGATCGCAAAGCTTTTTGTAAACGCACACACACGCACACACACACACACACACACATACGTGACTATCCTGACCGTCTGGTAACTTAATCCTCCTTGTGTTCTTTTTAAATTAGACACATTGAGAGGAAATTGAGAGAAGCCCTGAAGCTGGGAAACTATTCCTTTAGAAAACCAATCGAGGGCATTTTATTTTCATTCTACAGGGTCTAAAGCGGTGAGGTCGTCCTCTACGCGCCGGAGGAAGGCTTTCATGGTCACGAGGCCGTCGGTAAAAACAGGGTGTGGGGAAACCGGCAGGTAATTGTGGCCGCTGGTCGTACCGGTTGGAACCGGTTGTGAGTCGGCAGACGAGAGACAAAACAAACTGTCCTCGTCGCACCAGACCTGCGGCGTCGTTTCCAACAGAAGCAAAAAGGTATGTCTGAATTACCGGGAGGGGGGGAGGAAAAGGCCAGCTGAGGTTCTGCGCGCCTCTCCCGGATCGGAGAGCAAACAAAGCTTTACGCGAGAGCGGACTGGGCAAATATTTGACGTGCAGGAGGAGGAGGAAGGAACACGCCACGGCCGCAAAGGGCTCGAGGGAGGGAAGAAGTTGGATATGAGTCAGTCGGTGCCGTCCTCTTATAGCTCATAGTATCTACAACCATAGAAGGAATTTGATGAGAGATCTTGGATCAAATGTTTTGTTTCACCAACATATCACTTTCTCCCATTATTTCTTCTTTAAATCTTTTTTTTTTAATCGTTTTGAAATAAACAGGTTCCTAATTAAGCGTCTTTAAATCCCTTTCCAATTACAGTTTTTGGGGGATTCATTATGTTTTATCACGTCTGTTATTGATCGTTTTACATTCAGTGTTCTTTATGATTTCCTTCCAGTTAAACCTTCTGTTAAATTACCCAGTTTCAGGTGGATTTGATCGAATTGGTTCCCGCTTCACGGACACCGGCCCTCTGAAACATGCTGTGCTTCAACAATCGCTGAAGGTGGAGACTCACCTTGATGACCTTGATGGACTGTTTGATCTCCTCCAGTTTCTTGGCTCTCTCCTTGATCAGATGTTTGACCTCCGACTTCTTCCTGGCCAGATTACTCTGCGAGAAGAAAAACCTTTCAATTGAAGGTCACGTGGCGGCGGTCGGGCCCTTCGCCGGGCGAGTTTAGGACAGCGTACGCGTTCATAATCCATTCGCACGCCAGCCCATTAATCATCAGAAGGTCAAAGACGGCTCACCATCCTCTTCTTCCACTCGTGGTCCACGGAGACGACGTCGTGGGACTTGTGCGTGGACTCGGCGCAGACCGCGCAGATGGCGACGTGGTCCGTGCGACAGTACACCTCCAGGAGACGCTCGTGCTTCTTGCAGATCTTCTCCTCCAGGTGGAAGGTGGGTTCGATCAGGCGGTGAGAGACCAGGGACTTTACCTGGGAGGCATTTAGATGGGCAAACGTAAGGGGTTTTGATACCCGAAGCTCTGAGATGATGCTGATCATCATATCTTTAGGTTTGGCATCAAGGATCGAATGGAGAAAAAAAATGATCTTGCGGATTCATCTACAAGCTTTAGGACTTTACAGAAATGTAGAATGTAGAAAAGCAAATCTTATTGCCCAAAAAGGTTTTCTAGAGGACAGTCATTGTGCTCATTTTCAGATTAATACTCTATTTGTACACTTGAGTAGTAAAGTGAGCAAAGAATAATCTACAGTCTTCATGTCCTTCATCGATTGTGTGAGTATTTAAATACCTTTTGACTTTACTATATTATAAATAGTACTTTTACAGTAGAATATGTAACTGTAGTGTAAAACTATAGTATATGCATGACATATTTTGTACCACTTTGAGAGACATTCTCTTACGATTGCGCGATCTCGACTGTGGAGTCACAAGGGAGAAGCGTCTTGGATGGGACACCCTCAACCTTACACACAGGATGCCGTGCAGCGTTCAGGTACAACCCTCTTTAGAACAGAAGAACGCATCAGAGCAGAAGGGAAGCACTGACCTTCCTGTGGTGCCGGAGGTGGACCTCGCAGAAGGACCCGGGGCAGCTCACGCACGACTTCAGGGCCTTCACCTTCCTTCCGATGCAGGCGTCGCAGGGCACCTCCCCGGCCCGGGCGAAATCCCCGCCGTCGGACGCCTGGGAGCCCCCGGGGCTGGCGTCCGAGGCCAGGTTGAGCGTGGACCCCCGCGGGGCCCCTCCGCCCCCGCCGCCCCCTCCGGCCAGCATCAGCCCCTGGAACTGGGAGGAGATTTCGGCCAGGACCCTGTTGACGCTCATCTCGGGCCTCTTGGAGTAGCTCTTCTTGCACATGGGGCACAGGAACTTCTTGCTGTGGTTCCAGTAGCCCTGCAGACAGGCCTTGCAGAAGCTGTGTCCGCAGGGCGTGGAGACGGGCTCCACGAACACCTCCAGGCAGATGGAGCAGGTGAACTGGTCCTCGGTGAGGACGCTCCCTCCCGGAGAGCTCATGTCTGCGCGGGAAGGGTCAGTTAGTTTTACAGTGCCGGTGTTTACGACAGGGTCAAAGGTCAGTCTGCACACAGATACGAGCCCTCTGGCCCTCGGAATATGCGATAAAGAGTCACGGTGGGGGAGGGGGGGGGGGGGGCGCACTGGGCACCACAAAGAGTAGGAAGTGGATTAAACGGCGTCACTGAGTGCAGGTAGGCGACAAACTATGAGAGGAATGCAGAAACTCAGGAACATTCAGGTTTAAAAGAAAACACCACAGCCGCTGGAAACTTACAGCAAGAACACACTGCTTTTGTTACCTTTGATCGCGCTTGTTTTTCATTTAACACAAGTGTAGTGTATATATATATAATATATATATCACATGAATGTACCTAAACATACACATTGTTTTTAGAAAGTGAACATACCAGGGACTTAAAGTCAACTTGAATAAGACAAACACGTCTCATTACTCGTTCTCTCTGTACATGAGAAGAGCCAAACACACCGTGTGCCGCAGTCACAAGAGAAAGTGATCACTGATGCCAGCGCGTGAAATAAAGAAGAAGAAGAAGAAGAAGAACTCACTCTGCATGTTTGCTTCTGCCGTCCTCCGCCTCGCGAACTTTGCTGTGAGGCCCACGGCGACAGGCGCTGCTCTCTTCCTGAAACCCTTCATGTCCCTCCCACTCTCGGCGCGACACACCCGGCCGTTCACACATGCCTCCCCCCTCCTCCCTCCTCCTCACCCTTTGTTATCACACCGGAGTCCTAAAGTGACGTTTGCTCCGGCTCTCTGCTCAGGGAGCCTGAAAGGTGTCTGGAAATAATATCAGTTTCTGCCCGTTATTTATTGTCTTAAATGATATCAACTGCTGTGAAATGATTGCACGCCTGAAGGTCTCATGAATATTTGTGCAAACATTCCTAGAAATGCCCTTAAAGAAACGTGATTTATAGAATTCAATTAGAAATCACACGGAAAACTTCCAAATTTGCAAGCGGCAGATGTCAAACCTGCACTTTGTCGCATTTAAGCACTGCGGTTGAAGATAATAATTATAGAGATAAATGATGCTCATAAATTGTTGGTAACAGACAGCTCAATATGCTAAATCACCTGCAGGGATCAAAGCATCATCATCAACTTTTTTTCTTTCAGTTTGTTTGCATCAGTCTGACGGAGCCAAATGCAAACGTGATCAATTATTCCTTCATCTCTAATGTTGAACCGAACGCAGGGAGACCCATACAGCTGGACAGAACAAACTGAGTGTTGCTGAATCATTTGAAGCGAGCTTTGCCTGTTAAATTATTTAGCCTCTAACTGGAAGAAGCTTGCTAACCGCAGCAATAAGCAAATACATCTGTCTTTTTTTTTTTTTTATGAATCGACTTTGCTCCGAGTTGTTGCCGTTTCATCCGCCGGGCCGACTCGGCCTTTACTCATAATTAAAATGAATCATAGCTTCTCTGATACGGACCTTTACCATCATTTCTGTCTTCACTGCAGGAAACTAGAAACTAGAAGCTCGACAATGTCGAATTCAAAATAAGTCATTGGCAGGAACGGAAGTAACAGCTAATGCTAAATGCTATCATTTAGTGCTAAATGCTATCGGGTAGGATCACGTGTTTTACGTGAAGCACTTTGTTGCCTTGCTGTTGAAATGTGCTCTACAGATGAATTCCCCCGGTCCTGCCTTGCAGTTAGTCACCTCCTCCTCGTCCCCCCCCCCCTCCCCCCCGCCTAAATATTTCGGTTGGGAGAGTTTGTGCTTTCATTGACGCGGAGGTCACTTCCTCGTGTCTTCAGAAAGACGTCAGAGCAGCTGCCCTGCCCGAGCCACCTTCGTATGACATTCATCCTCTCGGGGGACAAACCGCACAAGAAGCTTTTCATCGTCACATTAATGGCAACCCAAAATGACCCCGACAGGTCGTTGGTCACAGGGAACCGTAACGAATCGTTGTGCAGTGTGAGTGAGTGACTCTCGGGTGAGGCGAGTCGGGGGACAACGGGGGAAGTGGTCTTGGTTTGTTTCTTGGGGGAGATTCATCGCTTCTCTCTCTCTCTCTCGTCCCAATGACCAATGACCACGTGATCCCTGGAATGGAGCCATTAAACAAGGCGCTCCGCGTGGCCCACACTGTAAAACTGAATGGTCGTGGATGGAATACAGAGCGAAGGCCCACGGGCCCAAAATGCCAAGGGGGCGGGGCGGGCGGGGGGGTGACCTTCAACCACAAAATGTCACTTGGAAAAGCTGAAAAAGAGACGAGAGGCCGCTGACTGACACACGCCGACTGTGAAAAGAGACTGAAAGCAACACGAAAACATCCACAGAAGGAACCTAAAGTTGGTGTTTCGCTCACGTGAACGGCCATTTTTGCACGTCGTTACCCAGAATCCCGCTGTGTCATAATGATTATGTAATGTCTTTACTTCACTGCCGTACGAACGTTCTTTTTTTCCCCCGCCGTACTGCGGACTGCGGCGTGTGTGAGGCTGCGTTCCTCCATCTCCGCCACTAGTGGGGGGCCTCGGCCCGCCGCCCGCAGACACTCCAGTCACGCTGCGTTTTTTTTTTTTTACCCTACACAGTGACGCGGTCGCCCGTGGCAACGTGTGAGCACAACAGCAGAACAGGCTGGGATTCAACAAAAGTAATCAATATTGTGGGGGGGGGGGCTGCCCTTTACCTTTGGGCCAAGTTGACTCCATGATGCAGCGGCTTATGTCATATGTCTTTGTATGTGATCCTGGACTATGCATCTAAATGATGACCCTCAAAAGCCCCCCGTCCCCCCGTCCCCCCCCCACGGGAGCTCTCACAAAGATGGATTCCTGTGCACTGCGGTTTATTGACGGCATCGATCATTCTCATTCAGCGGGACGGTCTCCCAAAACGTCCCTGTGTGGGTATCTGAGGCGTTATTGATCATCCTTTTCTCCTCCTGCAAATGTCACCCCCCCCCCCCCCCCCCCCCCCCTTGTCCCCTCGGAAATTGTGCTTGGTTTTTCCTGGGAATTCCTTGAGACCGAAATTTTTTTAGTCTTGACCCCAGTTTAGCGCGGGGCTGTATTACGAACCTGGATTATTGTACCATACAATGTCCTCGCTGCCAGGAGGACATGAGACGTGTTTGCCAGAATGCCTTTTTTGTTTAAAGCTGCTAAAGTCGCTCCGAAAGCTTTTTTGCTGCACGCGTTCCTCCATCTCTGAGAACATGTACCGTGTACATGTACCGATTCCTTTTGGGGACGTGAATATCTGTGTTAGCACGAAACACCCCAAATGAATCAGATTTACATCTTACGCCGCAGAGTTGGCACAGTTTTGTGGTATCCGGCATACTTGTAAAATTTGTATTTAAAAAAAAAATATATATTTCTAGCTGGATAGCTTTAAGCCTCAAACGTCACTTTGTCAAGAAACATGATCTGTTTTTTGTCATAATTGTTCCTACGTAGCTTTATTTCCAAGATATAATTCAATTTTATTTTATTGTTAGTGTGTGTAAATAAATTAATAATGATGATGTAAGTTGGTATTCTGCCTTGGGAAAAAAAACACATAAAAGAATCAGGGTTTTTGTTGTTTTGATCAAATCATGGCAATTGCGGCTGCAATCCGACACCAGTCTTTCTCCCGTCTTAGCCCCCCCTGCTCTCCCCTCCTACACACCTCTCACTCTCACCCCCCGTCCCTTCGTCCCGTGTTGTGCATTGAAGATCTCCCCAGAGAGGCTGCGGACGGGTCTTCTCTCAAGAAAACGCAGCGTGGGGTCTACGCACTCTCCCCCCCCCCCCTCTCACTCTTCTGCAGCTTCGCCTCTCAAATGAAACCACTGGGTCCTCTCGCATCGCAGCATGTTGCATCCTCCCCTCCCTCACCCCCTCCGCCTCCAGCTCACTCCACCGTGTCGTCCTCCGCCCGCCCTCCCTCTGCTCTCTGGTTTCTCAGAAAGGGTATCGATGCTCTCACCTCCTCCTGGGGGGTGGGGGTGGTGTGTGTGTGGGGGGGTGGGGGTGGTGTGTTCGGCAGCGCCGCAAAAAGCCGGCGGGGAGAGTCTCCCTCACTGGGAGACGTTGCGCTAATGCCGGCTGGGTGGTTGGCGGCCAACGGACACAGCGTCGGGCTCAGGGGGCACTAAAGCAGGACGGGGGGGGCCCTGAGAGTGTTGATCAAGTGTCGACGATCAGTGACGTAAACGTGCAACAACCGAGTCCAACCACCGAGCGCATCATTGGATCACGCCGGTGAAAAGAATAAAATACATGGAGTCAAGCGCAAGCATCAGTCTTCTTATCCAACTCTTGGCTACAAAGGCCTACGAGTCCATCAGTTAGCCCGCTGATGTTAGCGTTCCGCCCCAAAGCGCCGAGCTGCACGCGGGTTTCTCTGCGTTTTTTGATTGTCTTGACGTTGCCGTAGCGCAGCAGCAGCTCAAAGGCGAGCGTCATGCTTTCCCGACTCTGCTCGGCGCCGTGACATCACCTGCACCACGTCGGTCTTAGTCATCGCTCTGATGCAGCAGCACACGAACAAGACCGGCGCTTCATGCGTTATTCCCTCTTTATCTTCGTGCAAAAGTTCTGGTGCATGAGGATTTTTTTTTTCAGTCTCTTAAGACTTTTCCTGCACGTGTGAATGCAACAAATCAATGCTGGGAAAGCCGAACCATCCCCGCGTGGTTAATTAAACCCTAACTCCTTTGGCCCAGAATGAATTATATCTGAAGCATGATTTAAAAATTAAATGTGTGATGCAGGCTTCATTAAATGTGCCTTCTCCTGCCTGTGTGTGTGAGAGGGAACGTTTTCACGGTAATATCTGCATCACATCCGATTCCGGTAACGCGGCGTCATGCATCGCGCGGCCTTTGTTGGATCTCTTTCTTGAGACGTGAAAGCATCGGCAATCGGGGCCAAAGTAGGATTTCCTTTAAACCCCAATTCTGCCTCCGAACGGCTTAAACCCGCTGAAAGCGGCGTTGACGTCTCCTCCTCCTCCAAAAGAGGAGATCAGACCCGGCGCCGACTCGTCTTGTCCCGCGCCGGCTTGCGCGATTGGACGTGTTTGTCTCGGGCCGCGGAGGACAAAAAGGCCCGCGGCGTGTCTCGCTGTCGTGTGATCGCAAGAGACATTTTGAGGCTAAAGATCATGTGGCTCAATAGACGTGTGAGATCGTTCCCTCCAATATCACAGATTCCCAGAACAAGCCGGTGGAAAACGGTGGTTTTTGTCGAGCTGGTTGTTGTTGTTGTTGTTTTTTTTGCTGGTGAAATAAAACATCAATTCAGTGCAATTCTGAAGGTACCCAGCAAGCATCTTCATCGTTCCCAATCACCACATTCAAACGGGCTTCATTTGCAGCATCGCTTCATTGATCTTTCATTGGGAAATTGATCAGAATTCTTCAGACGTGCCTCACTGCCGTTGATCCTTGGTGATCATTCTGAGCCGTCATAGCTTGTGGAAAATCGGGTCAGTCGATGCGAGTGAAAAACACCCAGAGTGCACTGCGGTTTTTTAGAACACAGGCGGGCAGAAGAACTGCAAAAGAAAATTGGCAATTTTTCGCTATTCAAGCGTGTTAGTGTGTATGTTTCATTTTATTTTATCATGTTTGCTTCTTTGGTCTCCTTAGTTTAGTTTTTATTTGTCCTCCATCCTTTTTATATTGAACGCAATAACGGAAGGA